CAGTCCATTATGGGAGCTTCCATGCTAATAGAATGTCTATCTTCTGTAATACAGACACATCAAGGCACTAACTGAGAATCTGTCACAATGAATTTCATCTAGATTTCACTTCATCTCTTCATGGACTGTAAAATTTGCTCTTGTACAATGCCTAAATTTACTGTGGGTAATTGAGAGAGATCTATAGATGCAGCACACAGTAAAAAGCATTTTTCCAAAGATCTATTGTAAATTGTGCAGATTTGGTTCAGTTGGGAAAAGATTATGAAATGCTGGACATCACTGGCTGCTAATTAAATGTTTTCGGTGAGCTCTGAAAATATTTTGAATGGATCACGATGAATAGAAGAGTGAAACCAGCAGCCTGGGTAAAATACCTCTCTTGCAGCTAGAAAGGCAATGAAAAAGCTTTCAAAATCTAAGAAACCCAAAAAAAGAGATTGGCAAATGAGTAAAAGTAAGCTCCATTACCCTTTGTAAGACTTATGGATCATATCAAGTAGACCTATGATATTTTTTATCTCTCTTGTGTTTACATAGTGCAAAGTGGGATATTATCCACTTAATCTGACTTCTTCTAGTTCTTAAAAAAATCCTTCTTAAATAGGGCAAGTAACTCCATTTTGTTTTTGCAACTGAGAATATCTGTCCTATCTGAAAATGTTGCTGTTAAGTTCTATGCATGGATTCTTGATAAAAAATTAAAATAACGTTTAATGCGTGGCTCATTTTTTTCCCAGATGAGTACTTGCTCCTCTGCTCATGAAATAGATATCCCAAGCATTTTCAATCATTTATTTTATTTATTTTTTTTTTAAATTTCCTTGTTTCCATTAATAACTAAACAAAGTTATTGGTATCCTTACTGATCACAGACTTTAATATTTGTTAGTCAATTGCAATTGTGATATATTCTATAGCTTTTTTCCTAAGCCACAAACAGAATAATAGCATCACGCTTCACTGCAAGTGAAGTGATCTCAGCCTTTACATTAGGAGAAAATCAGAATGGTATGACTGCAGTTCATTACTGAAATAGGTAACTGATGAACTGAAAAGACAAAGGGCATTGTTAAATGAAATGTCATTATTAGAGCTGCTCATGTTTAACAAATGTACTGTAAGTTAATTCAGTGGTGTTTTCTCCAAAGTTCTCTATAGGACGTTCACCATTCATGCTTATGTCTTCACATGTTCAAAGTATTTTTATTTTCTTTGTGGAAATGAACATTAACTAAATCTTAAATAAACACCAGTTAAACTGTTATAAAAAATGCTACACTCATTTTTGTCCAAGGTTTACTTCCAGAGCTATGGGTCACCCAGTGAGCTCTGAAAGACAAGCATTTTTTAACGTTTCTGAATGTTTATGTATATTATGTTTGAATAAACACCTTCTTTTCCTTGAAGGAAAACAGAAGGTAAATCCAGAATTTCATGGGGAAAAGATTTAGTCTTTAGGTTCCAATTCAGCAATTTGTGACTATGCAACAAAGCACTTTGGCACGTGTTTAATGTCAGGACCTGAAGCATCTGTTTTAATATGTTGCTGAATTGGGGCCTTAAAGCACAAGCAGAATCTTGGACCTTGAATTTTAAGAGCTGTGTAAAAGTGGTGTTCTGATATCAAATAAAAAACATATCATACTTTCAGCATCTGTGGGAAACTGTTTGCATTGCCCCAGAGGTGATAAAAATAATTTATGGACTCAGTATTTTCCACAACAAGGAAATGACCTCAGCTTTGGCAATCTGAGGTAGTTAGTGAAGCTTTTCTGCTACATTTATAGATTTACTTGAGCTACATATTCTTTGACCTGTATTTGAGATTTATTGGCAGATACATAAGTCACAGTGAATAACCTAAAAAGAAATTGATGCTCTGTGCATTTTGTGCATGGATTGACTGACAGATTATGAAGGGCTGCTTCTTCACAAGTGATTGAGACCTGTGCCTTTGCTTGTTATAAATATGTCTGCTGGGGTGTCATGTGAATTTTTTAACTAAAGGTTTTAATACAACAGGAAGATTAAAAGCATATTGAGACTATAGGATGTGTGAATATGAGCTTGAAAGGACACAATATGTTATGGATGCCACAATAAGGCATCAAACCATCAAACTCCTGGGAGCAGCCCTGTCTTCTCTGAGCAGTCCCACTGGCCTGGCACCTCTCTTAAGAACAGGACTGCAGAGTCCAAGTCAGTGTTGCAGAGCATTAGTGATCCAAAAGAGCAGGACAGGAAAGCTTCCTCTGGGTCCTCTCCTCCTGCTGTCCAAGTAGTGACACTCAGGTCAGCACTGAGAACAGCTGAGGCTTCACACAGAGCTTGCTTTGTCTTGAACAGGTTTCGAAATCAAGTTCTGGGCCTCCAAGGTATATATTCAAGGCACTCCTCAGCACTTTGCACAATCCTAGAGGATTGAGTGATTACCTTGGTATGTGAGGGAGGGAGAGTGCTCCTGCATTTCCTCAGTCGGATTGAGCACTGAGCAGTAACTAGGGAAATGCTCTATTTGATGCTCTAGCATCTGACTGGAGATCACTGACCACAGAAGCATGTTTTTTTCGTGACACTGCCATGGAACTAAGCTATTAATGACATTACATAGATATCCCTAATATTTTTTCATCCCCTTTTTCACTTTAGGCAAGGAACTTAGAAGTTGCAATCAAGTATCTGTACTGACAGCTCCATCATTTGCCTGATGGAAACTGGAAAACAAACAACCCCCTCTTCCATCCTGCCACCAGAAGTGAGACTAATTTAAAGTGTAAGGCAAGACTGTAAAAGTTTACTTTCAATCCCTGTTCTTGTGGCCTTAATAACACGCCTTTCACACGATTTTTTGACAGCAAAAAATAATTGGCAATATAAAAGTTTTAAAGCAATCCATGGTGCAGTATCTTCATTGTCTCGGAGGAAGCACAAGACACATAATAAAGAGTAAAAGTTTACTCACTTGAAACTGAGCTTCATCCTCATCTGTTCAGCATTACATAGATTTTAAATGTATGAAAGAGGGATGTAAGAAAGAAATGATAACAGTCTATCTGTTCTGCTGTTTCTGTCACCAAAGACAACCAAAATAAACATGATTTGGACTACAAACATCTATGGATGAATTAATATTTTCTGCCTCCTGAATGTGCTACAGGAGATCTATGCATTGGAAATGAACCTTGCACTGTCTGAATATGCCCAGAGCTCTCTGAGCTATCTGCAGCAACACCAGCCACCAGGCAAAACATATTTTCTCGATTTATATTTCCACTCATTTGTTTAACTTCACTGCCATCTGCTGTTAAGTATGAGAACCTGGCCTGGAGGCCTGGGAAATAGCTGTGATGTGCCCAGGTATGGCACTTCCAACTCTTACACAATTTTTACTGTGTTGTAAAGGACAGGAAGGAAATAGTTACTCATGAGGTTGGTGTCCTGTGCATCCTTAGCTCATCCAAAGCAGTGTCTTATCCCTGTCACACCTTGTGAAGACTCCAGCAGCACCAGCCTATATAACACCACCATTCTTTGAGCATGTCTTCCTTCTGCATCTTCCTCCCACTTCTGCATCTTCCTCCCACTTCTGATCACGTTTTTTCTGACAGCACTATTGCCCTATGTTCTTTCAAACAGATCCTGAAAAATCACCTTTTCCACCCAGCATAAAAGTACATAGGATAAGGGCTTGAAAAGTAATCAGTAATTATAGCATCTCTCATTTTGTGCAATGGAAGCAGCATCAGTTTATCAAGCAGAGAGCGCTGGAGCAGATGGATCATCAGCTCTTGTCATTCTGTATGTCAGGAGGTTCCTTCTAGTCTAGTTACTTCATACTGTTATTCTCACTGCATCTCACAAATAGCACTCAGTGTGGATAATGGGTTGCATCCAGGAAATAAAAAAAAAAAGGACACTCAACCAACTGAACAGCACCCACTTAAAAAACCCTCAGAAATAGACATGTATATTTAGGCTATGAATTGAAATAATAATTAGCTTATGGAAAAATATGTCAAAAGTGGAATATATTTGGCTACTGATGGGTGCAGTTAGAGGTAGGAAGTCTGGAAAAGCATGACATTTTCTATTACTTCCTGTGCTCATGTTTCCAGCTTTGACTCAATGACTCGGTTCTTTGGCCTGATTCAATACAAAACAACAAAACTTTCCTTTGACCACAGCAGGCTTTGGCTGAGACTGCCAGCAAAATTACAGTGGGAGATAAAGTGATCTATGAAGATTAACACAAATGTTGAGTTTAGATAGTTAATCTAATGGCCTTGAAAGGTAAATGATATTACAGTTATATACATTTATTACAAACGGTATAGTTTTACTCTTCAGTGTCAAGAATGGGGTGTTGTCAGTGTCAGTTTACTACTGTGGTATTAAATCTTTCCTTGTGGCAATGCTTTCAATCTCCTTGCTTTCCTGATTTATTTTTTTTTTATTACTAAAAGAGCTGATAATCAGTACAGCTATAGGAAAAGCGAGATATAATCTACATCCTCTTAAGTCCAAACAATGAAATTGTATTTCAGTCCTGATCTCAGAATATCTATTGCTATCAAAGCTAAGTAATGAACTTTATGGCTGAAAAAATGTAGCTCAATTTTCAGATACTGTGTAAAATGCAGACCTGGCATTAAAAAAAAATCTTCTGCCTTATAAATGGGGTGAATTTGATATGGAGTTTAGTGAAGAAGCATCAGAATGGAGCACAAACATGCCAGTTCCTTAGTAGAACAACATCCCTCAGGGAAACAAGATGTATGTGAAAAAGTCTTCTATAGCACTTGGTAACCAGTTAGTACAGCACTCAGAAAATTAAAGTTACATAAAACACTTTGCAAAAAAGTTGGACTAGAGTTGACCATGGTCTAAGGCCAAAGATGTTACTTTTTTTTTTTCCTTTATGCTTTATTTGTCCATAAAATATTTTAAATAGTTGTTCTGACTCTAATCCTTTACTGTGTATTTCTTTGTTTCCTCAGCTTCTCCTAAGAAAAAAATGGATGCTCTCCTGAGAACATCCAATCTTCTGCACAACCACCCAGCATATGTGGAAGCAGCATGAACTAAAATCTCTTCAGAACTGGCTCAACATTTGCAATTCTTCATGCTGCCAAGTTCATGGAAAATTACTGGTACTTGGTAGTTCTGACTTACTGCGTGGTACTGCTGTCCTTCTCACTTTGGAACTCCCAGCTCACTTTGTCTTCCTGAAAGCAGGCTTGGCTGTTCTGCCTCTCACAGACCAGCATAGATCTGTTTTCTCTGAGCCACTGTGAAACATGCTGCTTCACTTCATACACACTTCCAGAAATAAAGGCAGGCGAATCCTGATGTGATGTTCTGATAGAGCATATGCACTCAATTCATCCTACTTCCTAAATCAAAAACTTGCAGGATTTTTTTGGCTATACAAAGGGAAGAGTATAGTTGGTGGATTGACTAGACGACAGCCAGTTAGGGAGGCAAAGACTGACAAAAAAGAAATGCACTCTCAGATTTTTCTTTAAATCTGCAGTACAAAGGGAACTGGAAGACAGTTTCAGCGGAAGAGATGAAGACAGACAAATGGCTTTAAACTCAGTAGAACAGTAGGCAAGGTAAAAGGTTAATTATTCCTTTGATGGAAGTTAGAGTCCCTGAATTATTGGGAGCAACTTCATCTCCTCCCTAGAAGCAATTCCTGGATTTAGTAATTTCTGCTCCCCCTGGCTTCAGTTATGACACTGCTCCATGCTCACTGCTTGGCTTCCCACCAGCCCCAGGCTTCCCAAAGTGGAAGGAAGTAATTTCTGCTGCAAACGTCCATAGGAAATTAAGAGTTTGGCATGGCATTTTAGTTTACAAGAAGTCTGAATAAGAGAAGCAACACATCTCTACAACCGCAGGACATCACAGCCTGGAGCATGGTGTCAGAACAAGACCAAGAGATGGGAAGGTGGAAGAGGTTATATTCCCTCACAGAGACAGATTTAGGAAACAGGAGGTAGCTGCACGCCTATTTCTTATAGTGAGTAATTAACACAGATCACAAGAAAAGACAGCAGCAATGGGCAGCAGAGCTTGCTGGAGTTTTTGACACTTGTTTTGTCAATGAGCTGTGGCTTTAACAGCATTTCCAAACAAACCATGCTGGACAGCATATGGCATACCCCAGGTGTTTGTGTACCTGTAGGAACTTTTCTCCTAATTTCAAAAGTCATGGAAGTTACAAGGTATCCTTTTCCACCTTGTTTCTAGAAGGCATAGTTCCTGGTAAGAGGGCACACTTTGGAGATAAGCAGGATAACTCCAAACATATTACAACTAGCCTTTCAAAATCACAAGGATATGAACTACTGGGGACAGTGGAGAAACTGCTGGGAGATTTCTACAAGAAAAGACTTCATTAGGATTGAACTGAAAAAAAATCCAACACAGCCACTGGGGTCAGCCATGGTGCTGCTTTTGAGGTGACTGATAAGAAAAATGCTGACAATCTTAGAGCTAAACCTTTCTCTTGAGTGCCCCTGCATAAAGGATGTGAAGTTTCATAATAAGGTAGTGATAATTCTTGTTTTTATTATGAGCTTTGCAATATTTGATATTTGTTTATAGACCAGCTCCCAGAATCAAAGGATTAGGTGAAAGTCTGTTTTAATTAAGAAACAAAGGTTTTCTTCAGATTTTTCTGCCCACTTTGTGAGATGTTGGGAGGAAGAATATCACTTTTCTTTCATGGTAATCATGAGATGCTCTGTGCTGACTTATTCAGACATGCTACTCAGTTTTATGCTAGGTAACATTTTGATGATTATCTTTACACTTTGGAGATGTAATGCTGCATTGTCTTACTAAATAAAAGATTAAATTAATATTATGTGGACCAGATTCGTATGATAAATTGGGAATTACATGACTATTTTATCATGAATTGACAAATCCTTGGGTTAATTATAGTTAAGAACTTCCATGGTGTCAACATTTTTTACCTTTACCTAGTTTTTTGGCAAGGTTCTCTGACGTTTAGGGGCTTTGCACAGGTCTTGGAGTGAGAGAATCAATATACACAAATCCCAGACTTAGAAAACCAGTTCTTTGCAGACTAAAATTCCAGAAAGTGTTTTCTAAAGTTGTTATAAACACTAACTGCTTTTATTAACTCCTAATGGAACTCATATTAGCTTGCCCTTGGATTTTAATGAAAGGGGTGCCATCAGTATTGTGAAGAAGAAACGATTCAGAAAAGTCATGTATTTTATTTGTTAGCATATTTGGGTTTTATTTGTGCTGAAATTAGCTATGATTTGCAAAGAATAGTTAGGTGAATATCCATCCTTTTTCCTTACCTCTGAACAGAAAAAGGGAACAGCAAAAAGTAATTCATTTTTCTTAATAATTGCTTCTGTGGAAAAAGAAAATCTTTGAAAAGACAGCTCAGCCAAGTTTTGTGAACACTGTAAGAAAATACTTGGATCACACTCTGAAAAGCCTTGAACTGTCCAGTGCAATAAAACTCAGGACTACATTTCATGATGCCCATAAAACCTGCTCTAAAGCCTCCTAAAAAATGTCTCAGAACAATTCAGAAAATGTTTGATTCAAATTACAAGAACTCAGTGATTTAAGGGACAGAAGTAAGGTCACTGTCATCCCTAATTTGTTTTCAGCACGCTCACTCTTGTACTCCTTATGTACAACTGAATAATAGAACATAGTAAAAGCACATGGGGGCGGCTTTCCAGAGCCCCGCCTGTGCTCGGGGCCTGTTTCCCGCTGGCAGCAGAACACAGCGGTGTCACCAGAGGGTGCTCTTCCACCATTTGTCACTGTCTGCCTGAGTGTAAACAAGATTTGCTTCTTAAAAAGACACGTGCTTCTACTGGCACTTTTGGATTGCGCCAGAATCCCCTGCTTAGAAGCAGTCTGACCATGGAGGGAGTAGTAGTGAATGGTAGCAAAGTTTGCTTTTCATTTAGGGTTAAGTTGCAGCCAGGCTAAAATTCCTAAAAAACATTGCTTGGTGGGACTGTTTCATTTCAAAATGCACATATGTATAAATTACTGAAGTTAAACTGGATGTCTATCCAGACGGTACACAGACATTTATTTTTTTCTGCAGGCTGTTTTCCTTTTTGCTTAGCTCTGTCCAAGGTTACACTTCCAATGCTCACCTCGAATCTCTACATGTCTTTCTTTTTTACCTCTACATCACTGATATTTTATCTAGCTTCTCTTACCACTCGTCTGCCTTTTCAATACCCTTTCAAAAAATCAACATGGAAGAAGAAAAGCCAAATAAACCCCCTCCATCTTAGACCATTATTCTTTTGGGAGTGAGGTGTTTCTGTGATGTCTGTTACTGTTTCAGATTCTCTCACTTCATTGGGAAATGAACTGTTCATTCTTACAACTATTTTAAGTGAAGGATGTGTCATATTATTATGGCATGTAGAAGGTAAAGTCTAAATCCATGTATTTTGCCTAAGAATGCCACAGTGAAAATATACACCTCTCTGCCCCTTTGTAAGGATTTGTAAATCAGTAACCCAATGACCTGTAGTCTCTTATTCTTTGAACATCAAGTAAATCTTACTAGTGACTCTGAGGAAGTTTTACCTTTCACAAATATAATATAAGTTCCTGGGCATTTTGTTTTCCAACAATTCCATATCAGATTTGCTCAGTCTAAGTATAAAAATGAAGGAAAACATTTTTCACTGTGTGAACATCACAGAGCTGTGATCTGAAATTTAATATCCTGGCCCAAAACAAGGAGACTGCGATGCACTTACAGTGCAAAGGTTCTCATTTAGTTTGTTCCTTCTCACGTCAAGGCTCAGTGAATCAGATTTAATTAGTTGTTCCATGGATGATACCTGAGTTAGAAAGACCCGCTTCATTCTCCTGGAGTAGAAACTGAGAGACAGAGAAACTCCTCAGCAGATTTTCAAAGAAGGCACAGTATCACTCTCTGAAAATACATCTGCTCAAATAATTGAAATACCTAAAATGATTGGCTACTTGCATATAGTGACTACAGTCTTTGAGTCATGCTTTCAAAATCATGACACTGCAGAAAGAGAAGTCTGGTGTAAACATTATATTCATCACATACTTAGTTATAATATTCTTATTACTCTCCAGGCAGACTTCTAGGCCTGGCACAGATGAAACTGTAGTGAGGACCAGACAACAATTCTGTCAACTTCTGTCATGTAGACTATGAGGGAGTTTTTTTTCTTACTAGAATATTAATATTTCCACTATCAGATTACCTTTTCCTCTACAAATTCCACAGGCCATAAAGTCTTTCCTCTTTCATCTGCTTCAGAAAGGAAGCAGATGTGTGGCCCTTTGCTAACTACATCACCAAGAATGTGACCATGAATAGGAGTTTTTGTATTTCCACAGCCATTACTCCCACCTGCTTTGCCTGTGTTTGCCTTGGGTTTTGTTGCAATGAGCTAATAGCTCAGTAAGTGAGCTAAAAATGTTCATGTTCATATTGCCAATCTTACGAAATTATATTAAAAATGACATTAACATAATTTTCAAGAAAAAAATATCCTCTTGTCTGCCTCTATGTTTTAAATTATTAAGGGCTGAAAATAGGAATTGTTCAGAGGAGAGACTGAACAGGACCTTGGCTGGACTGGACCTTCTAAATGTCACCCACAGGTATGACAGTGAGCATGTTTAAAACACCATTTCCTGTTATATGTGAATGCTGAAAGGGCACAATACCTTGCAAAGAATATCAGCTGATGTGATGGGATGCAATGGCCTGCTGCAGCCCCTAAGACAGCGGCGACTGGAACAGGTCTGTGACTTTTTCATTTCACAGTGCAATAACTGGGAATTTGCAATTGCCCACTGAATGGTTCTCTATGCCTACTACATCTCAGGAAAGAGCTGAAGAGGAACTGAGTAACTGTAAGGAGATGGAATAAACCAAGACAACAAATTAAAAGAGTAAATGCATGCAGAGGAAGATACTTGTGCTGTAGCTAACAGTATTGCTGACTCCTGAAACCTGGATGAAAACCTTTATCACAGGAATAATTTCATTACGGATCAGGATGGAAGTGATCTCTGTGCTGGGGCTGCCAGGCAACAAAATGGTTTGGAAAAGCTCACCCAAGATCTGAGCCACAGAAAACAATGCAAAATCTGATACTGAGTTTGGAAGGCTTTAGCTTCTCCTGTAAGTAGGAAACCAACTGGGAAGATGTGGTCATGACAGTACCAAGGTCCATGGCCTGATGCAACCACTGAGATCCTTTCCATTTACACCAAGATCTGTCCATCACAATTTGTTTTATGGTAGCCTTAAAAGAATGTTGCACTCTAACAAGAAGATCCTGTATAAAGGGCCATTGCACAGGAAGCTATATGTGCTTTATTTTATCCATCATGCAAAACAGAAATAAATCTCTTTTAGGCCTCCTCAGAACAGAGAGCATTGGAAAGTTACTTAACTTACTTTATTTATCTCTGTCTGCTCTACAAACAGTGGAGCCCTTGCTGTTGCTGTTAATCCATCTCACATTTTTATTCTTATTACAAGAAGAAACAAATATGTGCTAAAAGATACAGTGAGACCTACTGCTACATTTTCAGTGGTGACTGAGTTTAATGTTGTTACAAATCCAGGCTGAGCAGCAAAATTAATCATATGGCTGTATAAAAAAAAAATGAGGAAAATTTTTAGCTCAGCTTTGTGGGATCAAGAGCAATGAAATAGGAAAATCAAGACAGGATTGTTGAAAGCAGCTGCACCAAAAACCAGAGCTCACTTACTTTCACAGATCAAAATAAAGTAGGGAAAGGGAAAACTAAGCCTAAATTGAATCTGCTAGAGATTTGCAAGCACAAAATCTAAAAGTCTGAAGGAAATGAGGTTTGTCTTTTTTTGATGGTGCCTCTCTTGGGTCTCTTTTTAAAACTAATTGGTATTTAGAAGATTGATCATCCAAATGTTGTAGGGGAAAACAGCTCTGTCTGGGTAACTGAGTGAATTTGCATCACAATAAGGTGTTGGGAAGCAATGATTTTGCAAAGCATTTGTTGAGGTTCAAGTGATCCAAGATGAGATGTAATAACTATAGATTTTGTATTTTTATGCTCCTCCCTTTTCTTTCCTAACTACACACCAGATGAAGGAAAATTCTGGCCTGTAAAGGAGAAAAATGTTTCCAGTTCTTGTGGTCTCATAGACATAGAGCAAATTAAAAGAATCTATTAGATTTCTGTAAGTACATCATTTCAAGCCAGCTTTGTGATTTTGGGGGACAGCTGCATGAGTTTTAATGTTCATAGGAATAAATTAGCCCTGTCTCCCTCCTTTGCCTTTCTTTACTGCTTGAAAATGCCAGAGAAACAGTTCCATTTCCTAGGCAGGTTTGTTTCCTCCTTTGTCAGATACTCAGTTACTACTTAAGCCCCTAGTTCATACTACCTTTGACTGTTTATCTATCATTTTTCTTTACTATGTTTATTTGAAAAGGAATTTTATGGGGTTTTTTTTAAGCTGATCTCTCTTCTCAGCAGTTACACTACAACCTGCACTTCCTGCTGCATTTGAAGGTCACCTACATCCCTTCCTAACACTCTCCTGTTTCCCTGCTCTCTGTCCCTGCTTTTTGCGGGCTTCAGTCTTACTCTGCATAGCAATCAATTAGAACCATACAGTTCTCTGTGAGGATAAGGCAAGCAAAACACAGAAACCCCATATTGCCGTGGTGACCACATTAGCCTCTGGGGCTGTGGAACAGTGCTCTGCAGCTCTAATTAAGATGTGGCCTGTGGTTACACTAGTACATGGCCTGAGCTGGTCTGGCCTATTTTTGCTGTTAATATTACTACTACT